CAAAAGTTTATTTTTTGTGAGATCTTGCAAAAGTTTTGCGGGATCTCGCAAAAGTTTATTTTTTGTGAGATCTTGCAAAAATTTTGCGGGATCTCGCAAAATTTTATTTTTTCCCTCCATGTCCCTTTAGGGGCTCCGTACTAACAGGACCTGCAGCTACGGTGACAATTTCAGACCCTCTGTGATTTCTAAATGAGTGTTCAAATACTTATTTTGCTGTAGTCCTCTACATCTCAGAGACCTTTGGGGAAACACCGGACCTCCTCTGGATCTCCATCCAAATTAAAGACAATAGTTGCTGCTAGAGGTACTGAGGGGAGAAAGTGGAGGTGCAGTTTTGGGGCACAGCGCTCTGAACTTTCCCCGGACCTCCAGGCTAGACGCTGACATTCCACAGAAGACGGCTGAGTTTTTCCGACGCTTTAGCTTCCAATTTGCATTTTCTGCGAACAGCTTGCAGCTTTGGATTCTGTTGGAACAGGTCTGGTTAAAGGTCACCTTTACGCCCAGCTCCTCTCATTCCAGGAGCCTCGCCTCCTGCGGGGGTTTTAAAAGGAGTATGTTCTCTCTGCTCCTCACTCTCCTCTCTGTCTCCTTCAGCAGCAGCAGGAACGCAGCATCCATCATGACCTTTGTGTCCCGCTCCGTCCGCTCCTCCAGCGGCTTCGGGGGAGATGGAGGTTTCTACTCCATGAGGGCCGGCAGCGTGTACGGAGGAGCCGGGGGCTCAGGGGTTCGGATCTCCTCTGCCTCCTCGCTGGGTAGTGGAAGGTCCTCCATGGGTGGAGGTGGAGGCTTCTTCTCTATGGGCAGCGGTGGTGGAGGAGGCTTCTCCTCCCAGATGAGCTTCAGCGCATCCGGCATGGAGGACAACTTGGTTGGGAACGAGAAGTTCACCATGCAGAACCTGAACGATCGCCTCGCCACCTACCTGGACAAGGTGCGCAAGCTGGAGAAGGCCAACGCTGAGCTGGAGCAGAAGATCAGGGGGTTTGTGGAGAGCAAGGTGGGGCCCTCTGCCCGGGACTACAGCGGCTCCTTCACCTCCATCAGCGAGATAACAGAGAAGGTGAGGAGGACCCTGAGCAAACTGTGGAATGTTCATCACCTTAAAGGCAGGATGCCTGAGAAGAAAGGTCCTCCTGCTGGAGTTTAAGCAGGTTCTGAAGCACACAGAGCAGATCTGCACTGACATGTTTGAAGAAAGGTGCACAGATCCATCATCACCTTCATCATGGCGGTTTTTAGGGCTGCTGAAGCATTTGAATCAAAGCACCACTAAAACTATCTTAATACTGTATGTGCTTTTTACAATGAGAAACAAACTATGTAAACTCTACAGTATTTGGTTATTTAACCCCTTCAATTATGTTCTGGTTCATCAGAAATAATAATAAACAAAAAAACAAGTAAACAAGCCTGATGAAGCTCCTAAACCTTAATGTTGAGCAACGCTTAGAGGAAAACGCTGCATTCAGGTGTTTCTGAAATGTTCAGTCAGATTTCTGCACCTATTGATGGTGAGTTGGTGAAATGTAAAGTGATACGTGGTGTGCAGAAATAGTGCATTAATGTCAATGCACTATTTCTGCACACCACGTATCACTTTACTTGGATTTATCACTTTACTTGGTTGGCTCCAGTCATACTTCTCCATCATGGCTCTCTTCTACACGTTTCCTTTGTTTTTCTTCTTCTATTTCCGTTCTCAGATCTACCTTTTCTCACGCCTAAAGTCTTCACACCTCCTGAGGTCAAACCTGGATGTTTCCTTAACTGAGAACCAGCAACTCTGTGTTGTTTTGGTTCTTCTTCTTTTCTTCACTTCCAGCTTTATTTTTTTTTACATCTGATAATAAATTTTGAGTTCATGGAAACTTTAACACCCTGAACTTCAGATAGTTCTGGTTGGAGGATCAGCATCTTCTGAGCTCACCTGTTGAATCCAGAGGGGTAACTTCAGACCTTCTGTCTGCAGATCCAGGAGGCCTTCAGGGTGAATGGAGCCGTCAACCTGAGCATCGAGAACGCTCGCTTGGCAGCAGATGACTTCAGGATCAAGTGAGTCCTTCGCTCCTCCGACCCATTTAGATGTTTGTCTTAATCACATGAAACATCTCATCTGTCCTCATCTGCTCCTCCTGCAGGTATGAAACGGAGTTGGCCATGCGTCAGTCGGTGGAGGCCGATATTGCCGGGCTCAGGAGGCTGATGGACGAGCTGACTCTGTCCAAGTCGGACCTGGAGATGCAGATCGAGGGTCTGAAAGAGGAGCTGATCTACCTGAAGAAAAACCACGAGGAGGTGAGCATTCAAGAAATCTGCTCCTTGCTTCCTGAGAGCAGCTGATCAGTGCGTCTGAAGAAGTTCTTGGTGCTGAAGGTCTGTGTGTGTGTGTGTGTGTGTGCAGGAGCTGGTTTCCACCAAAGCCCAGATGAGCGGGCAGGTCCATGTGGAGGTGGACGCCGCCCCGGCCCAGGACCTCACCAAGGTCATAGAGGAGATCAGGGAGCACTACGAGGCCGTGGCTGCCAAGAACCACAAAGAGCTGGAGAACTGGTTTCAGACCAAGGTAAGCTGCTGTGACATCACTTCCTGTGCTCAGATCAGGAGTGAAAGCAAACACTGGATGAGTCTGTGTGTGTGTGTGTGCTTGTTGATGTGGATACAGCTTTTATGGTGTCCTTACCAACGGTTGGAGGACCAGCAGGCCTAGAGAACATTACGGTCCAAACGTGGCGGGTCCCTTTTAAGAGTCATAGCGTGAATTAACTTTAGGTGAAGATCAGGGGTAAGGCAAAGACTAAGGTCAGGGTTAAAATTAGGGTTAAGGTCACAATTAAGATCAATGTTAAGGTCAGGGTTAATGATAAATGCAGTGTCAGGATTTTATGTTCTTTTCAAATCCCAGTCACCTGGGAATTTCTATTTCTGATACTTTAATATGTTTATTGCCCTCCCCTGTAGGGGGGGTAAAATATCTTATTTAATCAGATATTATTTCAGCTGTTATATACCTATATTCATGAACACACCCCCTACTAACTGTGTGTTAGAACAATAAATGAAAGAGTGATTCAAGCTCTAATCGTGGTCAAACAGTTATTTCTGCACATAAATGGAATAAATTCACCACAACTTCTGTTCAAAATATAAGATTTTATTAACAAAAATCATTCAGTTCCACGTCAAACGTATTTCAGTTTAACACTCTTAACTAAGATTAGTAAAACTCAACTCAACTACTATGTACAAAGAGGAAGGGAAAATGGTTGAAAACCAGATTACAGTTTAAGATGGATTATTTGTTGGTCAGACTTGCTAATAGAAATGTAAATATCGTCTGAGGAACACCTGAACACTAAAGTTATATCAGTGTTTAAACTCTTAGTGAATAAAGCTTGTCTAAGCTTTAGCAACAGCTCAACACATATTCCTGTAGCATAGCGTAGCATGCAGTCCATCCTGTTAGCTTGACTTTACTCATCAGTAAACACATGTTTGTTCTGTCCCTAATCATGCCAGACCTGCAAACCTTTTTGTCCATGTCCAGTTGGAAGCTTGAGTTCATCCAGTTGCAGCTCAGCAGTCAGGGCACAGCAGGGGTTCTTAGTTTCAGTCTCACACCCAGGGCATGGTTCTCATCCAGTCTGGCTCTATACATTCTGAAATTCAAGAGAAATGTGTTGCAAAACGTCTGTTTTGCAGTAGTTTGGTTCTGAAAGGTTAAGTTGTAGGTTGAAGTTTCTGGAGATCTGGTTCCCCTGAGGCCCACATCTCCACTGTGGTGGAGAACCAGCCAAAGGCCAAAGCGGACCCCAGCTTCCTGGCCAAGGGAGAGGAGGCAAAGAGGAGAGAATGTGGTTTTCTCTGTGGTTTTGTTCTGTCCTCACATAGAGGGGTTGGTTTTTCACACCTCTGGGGGCTGCCATGTGACTTGCCTGTGAATGCTATGTGGCTGAAAAGGGGGGGCTGCAGAAGTCCCCCGGCTGTTATTCACCAAAGCTGCGTTTTCTCCTCTGCTCATCCTGTCAAGATGAAATATGGGAACTGGTTCCCAGTGTCCAGAAAGGAGGATCATGGCATATGGCACAACAGCAGCAACTAAAAATGAACGTCACTGGATGTAAAGTCGTAATCTGATTAGAAACATAAACCTTTGTGTATCGTTGCAGACGGAGACGCTGAACAAAGAGGTGGTCTCTCAGTCAACAACGC